TTATATATATCGCACATTAAAGCATAATATTATACATGTGTATATACTATATTATGTATATTATACTATTTATGTTTAACATTATTATACATTATACACAATATGTATACATATATAATATAATTGTAACAAAATTTAATAATGCAATCAAATTTTAAATACATAGAGTTGTTATTTATAAAAAAATATACGGTATGTTGTGACGTCTATTATTAAGCAAGAAATAACTATAAAATATATTTTATCGCGACGAAAACATTGTGAAAGCAGAAAAATATCAGTGACACCTAATAAGAAAAAAGAGTCGTGATATGCAAATCGTGTCGTTGACATTTCGAAAAAATGGAAAAGGAACATTCAAGAAGAGAAACATAAGTATCAAATTCTTTTCTATCCGTTTCATTTTGTTTCAACCGGTTTCAGAATGTTTGATATGCATTTAAATTCATTATCAATATCTTGTGTTACTAATAATAATAACACTATATTACTTACGTGATAATCATAATAATTTATCAACGACTTATTTACTAATTAATCGTAATAATTTATCAATGAATTTATAATAATATTATAATATAAACTAAATTAATACTAAACATTATTTATTAATTATTAATTAGAGGAAAGATACTAATTATTAATAATATCGGTGTATTTTAAATAAGCTAAATTATAATGTATTTTAATGCAAATTCTATATTATCTACTATTTAACAAGACAAGTCACTAGATTTTTCCTGAGATGTTCCACGAGATTACGCTAGCTAATTAGCGACATTTATTAACATGTTTGGCGATTATCTAGAAAAAAGAACTCCTCATCGATTTTAATGACTTTGAAATATGTCGTCGACGTCATCATTCTGAACAAATTTTCCCTATACATGTTTCCACTGCTCGACGTTAATTTTCGAGAGATATGCAGAAGCTTCGTCGAAATTTCCTCACTTCTGATTTAGCTGAAATTTTGCAAACAGCTTCATTTCATATAAAAACAAAGAAGGATTCTTGGCGATTCGAATATTAAGATATACAAGATTTTGCAAAACAACAAAAATTTGCAAATAAAAAACAAGACAATTATTTGGAATAAACTAATTACAAACGATCCCATCGGTTTAGGTTAGATTTAGGTTAGGTTTAGCCCAAACACAAACCATAAAATATGCAAAATATAAAATATGTCGTTGAAAATATTTTTACGTATATTCGTTATTACGATTTAATTAATGATTCTTAATAAATAAGCTGTCACCTCAGGAATCATTGAAATCAATGAAGTTTGCGCCTTACGAAACATATTTCTTTCAAGTATCTCGAGAACTAAATGCAACATGTATATGTAGGGAAAAGTTGTTGACAATATATTTTAAAGTCATTAGAATCGATCATTACCACTTGTTAATTTTTGAGATTACGATGAAAATTTCTTGTACGAAATTTTTCACGATAAGCAGATTTGAAAGTCGTTCGTCTTGCATGCGATTGTCCTGAGTGTGCATGCCTGACACACACGTGTGTACATATTGCTTACATTCTGAAGTGGCCACGTGCCGGCTAGTTAGCAAGGTGAAGTATAATTTCAACACGGAATACGTGACTTTTAAAACGTTGCCATTAAAATCGTTTAATCGTTCAATAATGTCGAGTACTTATAACAATTAGCTCTAGCAGCCAATTTAAACGATACAACTCCCCCCCCCTCAGTGCGATAACAAGCGAAAGCAAAATGTCCACATAATTCCGTATCCTCACCGAAAATCCAACTTTCATGCATGCACTTGCTTAAATTTTGGCTCGAAAAATTGCATCGTCTGAAGTAGTTGTAACTTAAAAATAACAGAATAATCGTTTATTAAACGAATCTGAAAATCATGTTCAACGACGAATTTATCTCATCGTACAGCTATTTTTGACAAACTTTCAAAATTCTCTATCGTTTCCATACAATCTGACATCTGACATTTTTATACGTTTCGTTCGATCGTTCTACAATCGTTCCTTGCAATCTGACATTTCATAATGTGTTTTGATGACGTTCGTAGATATTTTATCCCGATTCATTCATTTTGTTACTTAATTAAAAGAAATTCTATTTCCATAGTATTTCGTCTTTTCGTTGTGTATAAAAAAAAAAAAA